GTAGTTTTAATCAAAATTAATTAAAGTAATTAATCACCTTTTCAATCACTTATTAAGATTTTATTACCTTTTTTTTATGTTTTTATATTTGTATTTTATTTATTGGGTTAGCTCAGAAGCCGAATGGGCCATGATCCATTTTAAAATCTTTTTCAGTCCATAACTACTAACCCAAACGGGTTGGTCTAACCCTGCCCACAAACATAACCCGATCGTCCAAATGGGCAAAGACAGATCAAACTTGAGTTCTAAAACAATGAAAAACCAGGGCTTCATTCGGCTAAATTAAACAGAAAATGACAAACTGCAACCGAACAAGAGAGCAATTTTAACAATGAAAATAGAACCCAAACCAAAAAATGCATGAAATATTCATTGTCTTCACAAGCATTCCACATCATTTCCGCTCAAGAACAATAGCAAAAATTACAGATTAAAAAAAAAAAAAGGTAAATGGCGGAATTTTTGGGTCGCCGATCGGAGTTCGATCCGGGGTACCCCACCCACTGGATAGTCCCCGGATCTTTCTCCTCACTGCTACCGCAAAAACTCTTCTGTTTCAGATCTATACCTATCTCCAGAAAAGTAGTCTCCACTCTGTTGCTCCGGCGTAGTCACCACCTCCAGCCAGAATCAAATCCTCCATCAGATCTCCAGAGATTTTTTTTTTTTTCAAAAAGAAACCCCCCCTTTCTATCCCGAAGACTACCATTTATATCAAGAATCAAACCCTAAAAAATGACCCAAATCACGGACTACTCCATCCCTTAAAATCAGGCCGAGACCCCCTGAAACCTTACCCAATTGGATCTGCTCCTTCCCTGCCTCTGGACAGAGATTTGGGCCCTGATAAATAAGAACCAGCCTCATATCAAAGTTGATAAGAGGCCAGATTCGCTGAAGAACAAATCAAACTTGAAGGTTACAAATCAAGAACTCAGGTGGGAGTCGGGTGAGTCCGGAATTTCTTGATTTTGCAGCTATTTGCGCGTCGTCAGCACCACCATCACCGATCTGCAGATCTGGGCACATCCTCACTGTTTTTGACATTCACTCACCTCTGGCCTTCTCCGGTGACCATGAATCAAAGATCGAAGATGAGAGGAAAAATCGAAAATGGAAGCAGAATTCGGAGATGAGGGGAAAGGTGAAAGCTTGGATGAGATTTGATGGTTCTGACTTCTGAGGCCATGAAATATGATGATGATGACCAGAGAAGAAAAGAAGATGGTTGCCGGCGACGAATGGTTGAAGCAGAGGGAAAGGAATCTGTGCCGGAAGAGAAAGTAGAAGTTGTTGAATGAAGATGTTATTTGACCATGATATAGATTCCACGAGAGAAAGTCGTTATCAAAATTTTTCTCTCAAGTGGAATACCAGTTGAGTCTTACCCTAGAGTTGATTTTTTGCAGTACTTGTCTTAGATTATTCAAACATAAACTTGTTCAATTGCAGTATTTGTCTTTAGATTATTCAAACATATTAAACCATACAGACACATAGTTCATGGCAGTACTTGGTCAAAAGTAAGGCCATGAAGTATTTGTCTGTATAATCTAACAGATCAAATCACCTGATAAAGATACACAGAGCACCTGTATATAAAGAAGTTTAACAATAACTCACTTCCGATGTGGGATTCTATCAAGACATTTTGTAGCACGGTTGGAGACAGTGCTGGATCTGGGGTTTCACTGTTCGCCTTCAGACCTTAGAGATCCAAAACTGAAGCAACTGTAATAGAAACTAGATACTATCGGCTCCAAAAGGAAACTGCACTATGAAACCTGCAACTGCTGCTCTCAATCTAATGTTTGAAATCCGCAACGAAAGAGAGAAGAGGGACGGTGAATATGCTGTTTTCATTGTCTGGGACTAACAACCGTTTTAGAGGCAGTTATCAAAATATTTCTAGAACTTCCATTACAGCTCTGTGTCTAGATTCTTCCAAAATTGCACACCACTAGCTCTAATTTCTAAAAGGCGAAAGAATTGAAGGAAACTTTGATGGGTTCTTGGAAAAATTTTGATTCTTTCTTTTCTTGCAATGAGGCCAACCAACTTTCTGTTGCAAGACAATGATTTGTTTTTGATTTAGAGATACAAGAATTGAAGGAAATCAGTGTGAGAATTTGTGGACTATGATGGAGGAGGAGGTTGGAAAAGAGGAAGATTGGGTTTGGGATGGGAGAACGAGAAAAGATAAGTTTTGGGGAACAATACGAGGAGTGTTAGGTAATTTTGAATTTTCAATATAATTTCAATTTAACCATTATTTATTGCAATTTTGTAATTAAAGTCAATGGTAACAATAAATTTTGTCCACATTTACTTTGTAAAATTTTTACGTCATTAATTTGAACGAAAGGACAACTTATGCTGCTATCAATTAATGTATCGTGTAAACGAAACTCAATGAAATAATTAAAAAGAGCCAAAAAAAATATTATATAAAACTTTAAGGGTTAGATTAAATTTTTTTCAGTTTAAAAACTAAAAGAAGATTTGGCATCGCACATGACCGTTCGGATCAATTTACACTTAATTAATTTAAGGTGCATTTCTCTATTTTTATGGACAGTTTTCGAGTTCGTCCTTGATAACTTATTTAAAAAAAAAAAAAAGAGGAAAAAGAAGAAGATTTGGCACCAAAGTTGGGCGAACAAAATCAGATTTAAACAATTGCTAATTAAATACGGACAAAAGGGTTTCCTCCCTCGTTCTACTTCCATCCTTCCCTGCCCTTTTCTGTTCTTGATTCTTCCTTTCTTCTTCTTTTTTTCATGATTT